CAGCATACCGGAAGAACTCCTCGCGATCCTGCTCATCGAGCTCGGACTTGATGTAGTTCACGGTGTTCTCGATACGCGGGATAATGACGTGCTCGATGGCGTTGACACGGCGGTTGGTGAGCTTGATCACCTCGTCGAGGACCAGGAAGGAGGTCTGTGGCAGGCACGTCCCACGAGGAAGGGGGAGAGGGGGCGGAGGACATGGTGAGACAGGGAGGGCCAACGGGCAGGAAGTCGGGAGCAGCAGCCAGCCAGCCGCGCACCTGGAGAGAAGCCAGCTCGATGAGCAGACGCGAGGCCTCGCGCCAGGCCTTCTTGGAGTTCTGGATCTGGGGACCACCACGACCGAGACCGGTGAGCTCGTAAGCTGATGGTCGAGCGCGGGGCCAGGGAGAGGAAGGAAGCGGAGATTGAGACAGGACGACCACACAAGGACGGGTCAGAGGAAGGTGAAATGATGGCACAGTCTGGGGACATGCACGAAGGGCGGGACGCACTGTCGGTGCCCTCCCAGAAGGTCTCAAACTGGGGGATCTGCACACCGGCAATGTTGTCAAGCTTGGCGCGGGTCTTCAGGGTGGCCTGGCCGGCAGACTGGACAATGGTGTTACTGGGATGCGGGGATGGTGGAGGAGACGGGCCATGGGGGAGAGAGAGAGAGAGAGGTCAGTGCCAGTGGGTGAGAGTATGTACACGCGCGCTTGCGCGTGGATGTGCGGAGAGGCGGGCGCCCTTCGCCCGTGCCTCGCACAGCATAGCGGGAACGGGGGAGGGAGAGAGGGAGAGAGGGCGGAGCATGGACTGACGCACCCGAGATCTGGGGCAACCAGGTTCACCTGGGCGAAGGAAAAGTGCGCGGCCTTCAGGATGTCACCCATGAGGGCCTTGCTCTCGATGATCTTGCGAGTAATGATGCGGAACTTGACGGTCAGGGCATCACTCTTCTTCTTGAGCAGGCCGTGACCGGAGCGGGCACCGCGCAGGCGGGCCTGCATGTTGGTCAGGGCCCTGAAGCCGACGGTCGGGGAAGAAAGGCACCCAGGGAGAGACCGGGGGAGGAATGGGCCGAGAGCGGGGGGGGGGGGGACGCGGTCAGTCACAAGGGCGATACGACGGATGGGCGGACATCAGAAACATACATTCGCGTCGGGAAGACGTTCAGGCGAGCATTGCTGCTGGACATGGTGACGACTGTGCGGAAGGGGAGGGAGGGGAGGGAGGGTCAGGGCAGGGCCGATACCCAGGGGGAGACAGATGAACGAGAGGCTGCAAGAAAGGCAGTGAAGGCGCAGAGGAAACAGGTGGAGGGGGGGGGAGAGGAAGGGAGGGAAGGAGGAGGAGGCGAACAGGTTGGACGGGCGAAAGGAGGAAAGCAAGCGCCACAAGGGAGAGGGGTGCCAGGCACCTCGATCGACAGGGGCCGGGAGGGTGAGAGAAAAAGTGCGATGCCGGGACTCGCGTCGCAGCCGGGGCCCTCCCGCCCCCAAGAGTAGGGTGGCAAGGCCCCGGGAGCTGGCTGGAAATGGAGTCCCAGCGTCCCCCCCGCGGCACGCATGACTGGTCCCCCAGCCCCCCCCCCCCCCCGCGCAGTGGCCTGGCCCTCCACCGGGCGGCCCTGGCGCCTGGCGGCAATAATACCACCCTTGCAGGGGCCGGCTCCCAGCCAAGCGAGCGCCCAGGCCCAACGAGGTGCTCCGGTGGGGGGTGGCAGCTGCCCCGTGCTCGTCCAGTCCAAAGACCGGCGGCCCCCGCGCCGGCGCCCAGACGCCCCTCCTCTGGGGCCCATTGGGTTCGGCCGGCGTGCTTGTCCTTGTCCTTGTCTCCCTGTGCGGCCACCTAACTGGTGCCAGGGTCAAGCCCAGCACCCGGAGCCCTGCTTCTCCACACACACACACACACACACACACACACACACACACACACACACACACATACAGCTGCTCACCCAGAGTGGGGCACGGCGCTGGTGGCTGAAGTGCCAACCAGATTCACTGGTGTCCGCGCCAAGGGGGATGGCAAGGGCAGTGGCGACAACCCTACAAGTGCCGAGAAGGCGGCCGAGCACGGGAGCGACTCCGTCGTTGGAGGACGGCCCTGGCACCTCCACGGCAACGGAGAGCCAGATAGGCGGGGTGGGCTGGGTAGAAAAAAATACGCCTCACATCTTGTGGAGGACACCCCACGCACACACAGGGAAAGAGCGCGCCCCCTACCTTGGCCCCATCCCCGCCTGTGGGGGGGGGGGGGGGG